ATTACTGTTTATTTTTAAATCCAAAAATTGTTAATCAAAATAAAACACTGATGTGGAAGCACTTTATCAATGCTGGTATTACACATATTAGAGACATTTCCTATGAAGTAATACCTGGATTTTTACCTGCATCTTTCATTGTTGAAATGATACATGAGTATAATTCAGAGATTAATGCAAAAATAATTCAAAATGACTACTCAATTTTATTGTCTATTATTCCAGATGAGTGGAAAGGTGTTATTCAAAATAATGTTTACATTAAGAATGTGTTTTTGACAAATTTTTCGCTTAGAGTGCAAAATCAAAAATATGTATTTTCCTCATGTACTGTTAAAATATTTTATGAGATATTAATACAAAAATTGTTTCAACCTCCAGTGTCAAATGAGTATTGGAAAGAGAAATTGAAATTAAAGGATACAGTAAAACTTGATAATAGATGGATTGTATTGAAAGAAAGGTGTATACCTCCTGATATTATTGAACTTGATTTTAAAATTTTTCATAATGGAATTTTTACGTATGAAAAACTGTTTAAAATTGGTAAAACAGATTCCAATAGATGTCCACTATGTAATATAGAATGTGAAGATTTAATGCACATGTTTGTAAAATGCAAAGACATACAAGATTTTAAAAACAATTTTATGATATATCATTTAGAGTCGTTGTTGAAGGACTGTGAAGATAATATATATAACACATTAGCCATTGAGGAACTTATGTTAACAACATTTCCTAGCAGTATTAAGAATGTTAATACTTTTTTTGTCAATTTTTTCATATCGATTTGTAGATTTACTATCTATAGAAGGAGACACGTGTTTTTAAAAAGCAATCAAAAATTAGAATTGATAAGGTTTTGCAAATATTTAATAAGGCATTACATTTATTATAATTATTATCAGCTATGTATAGTAGAAAACAACAAAAAGATGTTTTGTAAGAAATTTTTGAGGAAAAATCCTATTTTGAAAGAAACAGAAGGAACCTTGTTATTCATTTTTTAATTTGTTAACGATGTATTGATAACATATAGTGGATATTGACTGTGATATAATATGTATTGTACTATTTGTTTGATTGATCAATAAAAGAGAAAAAAAAAAATATCACTCGCTTCACATGCGGGAGGTCCCGGGATCGAATCTCGGTCGAATCTGTTTTTTTTTTCTTTTTTTTTCTTTTAAATACTTTTTTTTTTATTACTAAAAGATAGTATTCAGCATGTGAAATGAAAAATTTATGAGGTTATAAAATCATCATTACAGTGTGATAAATATTCCATATAAAAAGAATCTTCTATACACATAATACAGAATAAGCAATCAAATCTTTATATGCATATTGACATACATGTATTTTATTTGCTTCAGTATACATGTATACATTTAATAATTCTACAAATTCAGTCAGGGGGATCCGACTTTTTCCCTAAGCGGGGGACACGAATTCTCTGAATTAGCTTGTTACCTATAGCTCTACAGTTAAACATGTTTATAACGAACAGATTTATAATGAAATAATGTTTGAGATGGCTATTTCTTTAAGAACAATGTACACAGAAAGGCTGATTAGCTTATCTTACGGAGATAGCAATTCATGACCCTGGTATTTATGATTGAAACTAGGTCAAATTCCAAAGGTTAAGGTCATAGTTGAGTTTAAATGTTTATTTTTGCAGGCCTTAAAAAGAGCGACTTGATACACATGCATGCATGCATGCATGCTGTTAGTTACATTAATTTCTTAATTCAAAGCAACAACGCAAACAATATTGTGTCAAAGCATTTTTTGCTCATAAATTTCTTCTTAATTTCAAACCACAAAGGTGTATGGTCTTTGTACACAAAGATTGACTAACATTTGAAGTCATATGTTCAATATAACAAAATTTCACTCATTAATTAAGAGAACAGACTTGTTTCACACTCAATATGTCACCTTAAATTGTTTTTGTTATGTCCAACTCTGACCGAAGAACTTAGGGTTGGTTATTAGTGGGGATTTTCCCCCGAAGATGAAAAAAATCTATAAAATATAGGTTGATATAATAACGTATTTGTTGAAATGTGATCCCATTGATACATGTATACTTGTACACATATATACGACGAAAAAAATAATCAGTATCAATAAACTCTCATAGGGGCGTAGTCTCTTTTATAATACCGATTTTTACTGTCTGTTTTTGAAATAAATTAAAAATCCAACATTTTCCTATGTTTTAGATAGAGACTTTTTTGAAGGATACAAAAAATTTTGAATCGGTTGATTTTCTTTTAGTAAGCTGGGTGGGGTAAACTTTTTAAAAAATTTTTGTTACTTCGTTTACAAGTTGATCATTCTCCAATTCAGTTTGAAGTACATAACAAGCAAATTCAATGAATTATGGTCCCCCGCTATCGATGTCTTTGTGGGTGAGATGTTATTTATGACATATTGTGTCTAATATGAACACCCTATCATATATCATTTATTTAGAAATTATCATTGAAGTTGATTTTTTTAAGGTCAATCGTGAAGGTCAAGGTCAAGGGGTAAGAAATCATAGTATGCTCGGAATTATCTTGTCACAGGTAATGCACATGTCATATATGAAAGCCCTATCTCTTCTCAATATAAGGAAAAAGATGTGTTTGCGAAACACTGATGACCCCGAATGGCAACATAACGAAGATTAATTTTTTTTAAAAATACAAATTAAATATATTATTACCCAAAGTAGGGTTTTTCTCACAAGAAATACGATTGTAAAATACAAAATCCCTAGCACCACCTGTTCAAAAGTTATAGTTGAGGATAAATTTTTGAAAGGTAGGTCAAACTCCAAGGTGAAAGGGTCTGATTTGTTGGTTTCTTAAGAAAGGTCTTGTCACAAGTAATACATATATGAAGGTTGAAAACCCTAACCCTAACCGTTATAAAGTTATGGCCAAAGTTAAGGTTTTTTAAAAGTAGGTCAACTCCAAGGTCAAGATCAAAGGGTCAAAGTTGTTGATATCCAATGAAAGGTCTTCTTACAAGGATTACATATGTGAAGTATGAAAGCCCTAGGCCCTTACCGTTCAAAAGTTATGACCAAGGTTAAAGTTTTTTCATAAGTACGTAAATCTCCAAGGTCAAGGTCAGAAGGTCAAAGTTGTTGGTATCCAATGAAAGGTCTTGCCAAGGTCTTGCCACAAAGAATACATATGTGAAATATAAAAGTCCTAGTATCTACCGTTCAAAAGTTGTGACCAAAGTTAAAGTTTTTAAAAAGTAGTTAAAAATCCAAGGTCAAGGTCAAAGGGTAAAAGTCCTTGGTATCCAATGAAAGGTCTTCTCACAAGAATTACATGTGTGAAGTACGAAAGCCTTAGCCCTTACCGCTCAAAAGTTCTGGTCAAGGTTAAAGTTTTTTCATAAGTACGTATATCTCCAAAGTCAAGGTCAAAAGGTCAAGGTTGTTGGTATCCAATGAAAGGTCTTGTCAGAAAGAATACATCTATGAAATATGAAAGTCCTAGTACCTACCATTCAAAAGTTATGGCCAAATTAAAAGTTTGGGATTTTTGTGTAAAAGTGGGTCAAACTCCAAGGTCAAGGTCAAAAGGTCAAATTTGGTGGTACCAACAGAAAGGTCTTGTCACAAGGAATACACATGTGAAATATGAAAGTCATAGCTCCACTAAATTTAAAGTTATGGGCAAGGTTAATGTTTTTGTGACGGACAGACTGACGGACAGACGGACAGACGAATGAGATTTAATGTCCCCTCGCTTTCGCGAAAGTGGGGGACAAAAAGTGGGGGACAATAATTCACTGTCTGACATCATTAAGCTTATATAAAACAAGCAAGAGCATCGCAAAAGAGAATATTTATTCATCAAGGCAAAACTAAACATTGATCCCGATGCAAATTATGTCCCTTCTGTTACGCACAAATGGGCAAACTCACCCATACACACAATCGCATTGCTACATGTACATCCCCTCCAGCTCCAATGCGAGGAAATAAATAACAAGGGCACTGAAAAGCGGAACATCCCCTCGGAAAAAGATCTTATCTTTAAATAAATGCAGCATCATAAATATCGATTTCGATGCAAATTACCTCAATCATTTACGCAAGTTTTGAATGACAAAGTACATGTAACTCAATCAACCACACACACCCATCGCGCTCCCTTTAACTCTTTGCTACATAACTCTTTATATAAACTATATGTAATTTGAAAATTTGCCATCAATGTACATTTTATAGAAAACTGCCTAGGCTCAGAAACATGTTTTTTCTAACAAGATATTCGGAATAAGACTAAAGTATTGCTGACTCAGCGTTAAGCAATAATTATTAAACACTATTTAATCTATTTTTTTAATTGAATTGTTATGCACCTGGATCGAAAGATCCGAGGCGTATATTGTTTTTGCCCTGTCTGTCTGTCTGTTTGTCTGTTTATCTGTTTGTCTGCAAACTTTAACCTTCGCCATAACTTTCGAACCATGAGAGATACATGTAGAGACTTCATATTTGGAATGCATACTCCACTAATTAAGCTCTTTCAAATGACACCAAGGTCAATGACCTTGTGGCCTTGACTGTGACCTATATGCTAATTTTTTTTTTCTGCAAACTTTAACCTTCACCATAACTTTTGAACGAAGAAAGATAGAGACTTAATATTTGGCATGTATACTCCACTAATTAAGCCCTTTCACATGACACCAAGGTCAATGACCTTGTGACCTTGACTGTGTCCTATATGCTAAAAATAGCTTTTTCGAACCTTCACCATAACTTTTAAACCATGAGAGATACAAACCTCATTTTTGATATGCATACTTCACTAATCAAGTTCATTCAAATGACACCAAGATCAATGACCTTATGACCTTGACTGTTATCTATAAGCTAAAAATATGTTTTTTTAACTTTGTTGTCGCCGGGCGCATAGTGTTTCACAAACACATCTTGTTTTTATATTGTGAAATATACTATTTTATTTTACCAGTAATTTCCCTGACGAGTGCGAGAGGAGGACGTGGTGGTGGAGCCAGGGGCGGATATAGAGGGGGCAGAAGCTCATACAGAGGTTCCTCCTCTAGAAGTTACCGCTCTGCCTTTAGCGGTAACCGTCTCTCCAGCTCCAGTAGTATTCGGTCCGCCCTGTTGTTAGGAACCGTGTATGGAGCTTCCAGGTACCGCATGAGAGCCAGATATCGATCTGAAGGCACATGTAAGTACACGTATATTCTTTATGAAAAATTCTTTGACTTTAATTGGTCTGGGTACGCATGTTTGAACTGATTTACCCATGATATAAAAACAGAATGAACAGTTGGCATTATGCTTGATGTTGGACTTGATCTTGATTCCAAAATGATATACTTTATCAAATATACTTATATGTAGGTGTACCTTCGTACATGTGCGTGTCTATAATTTATATGAAGTATACCTGTTGCTTTCAAAAATAACGTAAAATTTTTCTCTCGTGCAGTACCAGAGATATGTTACAATGACAGCTATAACATGAGTACCAATGGCTCCGTGTCGTACCAGGGTCGGTTTGTCTGTCCGTTGGAGGAAAGCATGTCTGAGGACTACCGATATTGCTGCGGCGAGGAGGGAAAACAATATTGCTGTACTTTCTGGGACAAGTAAGTTTTGTTAAAAATGTTCACTTTTGGTTGTTCCATTTCTAGAAAATAAAACGCATTCATTTCATGATATTATACAATCGCGTAGTTTTCAAAACTTTTGTCTTATACTGATTTACTTCGACTAAGTAACTGATATTCATATAATGATGATGCTTAATTAAAATAAATTTCCTTTGACGTAATTTGTCAGGGATTCGTTTTACAAAATAACTTATGACTAATACCCCATTCATACGACATGATTTGCATACCTCAGTATATTTTACACATAAGTAAATTTACTCCCATGTGCAATTTTTGTCGTATGAACTGATTTACTCGTATGCAAATTCTGCACAGTTGAGTAAATTTACACCTGGTCAGGACTAGGTGCAAATTAACTTTTGCATACACTTTGTAGCAAATTATTCGTTCATGTATGGAACGCCAACACTGCCTTATAGCATACAACTATGCATTTATTATGTCAATTTATCATTACGTGATGTGAACATATCTTTACGTTATGTCAATCCTTTATGAGATTATGTAAAAATATCTTTACATCATGTCAATGCTGCATTACATGAAGTAAATACATCCTTTCATTATGTCAGCACTTCATAACTTGAAGTCGAAAATTCATTATGTGAAGCGATAATGTGTTTACATTGTGTTAAAACTTTATTACGTGAAATGAATGTTTCTTTACATCATTTCATTTCTTTAATATGAGAGGTCAAAACTGCATTACGTCTAGTGAATTGTGTTTTATAATTAAACTTATCATTACATGAAGTCAAAAATCCATTCCTTTTCGAGAGTGTATATTTTTATTATATCAAAGCATTATTACATGATATGGGTTTATCTTTATCTTACGGCGAGAGTATCATGATGTGAGGTGAACACATCTTACCTTTATGTCAGTGCTTTATTACGTGGTGTAAAAAGTGTATGACATTATGTGAACATATCTTTATATTATATCAACACTTTATCACATTATGTCAAAACTCAATTCCGTGATGTGGATATATGATTACGTTATGTCAACTCTTTCTTCTGTGATCTTAAATATCTTTATATTGTGTTAACTCTTTATCATGTTGATTCCAAAAGTGCATTACCTGATGTAAAAATACATTTACATTATCTCAAAGCTGTATATCTGGTATAAAATGAATGTTGACGACCGTGTTTTTATGACTGGTAAGAGGGGGGGGGGGGGGGGCTGATTGATTCGGAAGAATTAGAGGCACAAAATATCAACCCCCCTCTTTTCCCAAACATAACTTTACAATAGAAAATGTAATGTTCATTGAAAGTACAGCCCCCACCCCCACTTTTTGTCCACTGAGGGTAATGTAGTATATCTGACAAAAAAATTAGGACTGATCGAAGTTGGACCCCCCTCCCCGAAATATGATTTTCGGGCTTGGAGTAGACAATTTTTTTCTTTGGCTTCTCAAGTTTTTTTTTCGGGCGAATATTTTTTTTTCTGGCTAACCCCCCCCCCCCCCCTCCTTTCGAAAAAGATGATACGTCACGCACTGGAATTAGTAATTTTTTCAACTATTCCAGGGCCAGAATTCTATTACAAAAAATCTCCCAATCCCTCATCTAAATCAATTGAATATGCCTTAGTAAGCATGCATGAACACACATCAGTAGCGGATATGAGAATCTTGAACAAAAAAAAATTGTCCAAGCCTGAAGGGGGACGGTTTATGGTTGGAGACCAAGGGGGAAAGCAGAGAAGCTCTCAGGCTTTATAGTTTTATAAAAAAAGTTTTCAACTTAATTCAGCTAAACTTAATGTGAAACTAATGCAATGTCCTACAAAGTAAAACCAATAAATTTATAAATTTTTTTGTACATGTAGATTTTGGTCACTAAAGATGGTAGGGCGGGATTTCCCCCTCCCCCCAACCCACCAGTGCACGTGTGTTATACGATGTGTTTACACTTTAAAAAAAAAAAAAGGAAAGTTCAAGACTGATAAAAAAAAATTATGACAATGTTCTTAGTAAGATCAGAAGTTTAAGACTTTTATCCAAAAAAAAAAAACAAAAAAAAAAACCAAACAAATAAACAAACAACAATTCAAAATAAAAAGAAGAAAAAATTGCTGACGACTCATAATATTTGATTTATTTAATTATCAGATTAAAGTAAACGCCATTGAATTTCGACGTGACTTTAATTCACAGTTGCAGTGTTAAGGCTTTGCACGTTTCAAGATTGTCAATCCTTTGTCGCTTAAAATTTTTATTTAAAGATGCCATTCCCAAATCGCTGAGATTTCTTCTACGGCAATTTTCTCTCCCGCCAATTTTAGTGCTCTCGGAACGCGGAAAATACAATCGGAATTCCTCGGATGACTCGTACCTCGCACATAACGTTTGAATGGAGCGTAGCGGAGTCAGCCGAGGATTGCCGATTGCGGAAAATACGGTATGCTCATAGAAAGGCCGAGGATACCCGTGTTCGCATAACGTAATATTGAATCGACATAATGTAGTAGTGTGAGTTAATATCATAAAGAATTGACATAATGTAATGATAGGTTAACACAATGTAATTGTTGTTTAATTAAATGTCATGAACAGTAAACATAACGAAATGCAAGAATGTGTAAATGTCATAAAGTGTTGACATAATGTAAAGGAAGGTTTACACGATGCAATAGTAGTGTGGGATAATATCATAAAGAATCGACACAATATAATGGAAGGTTGACACAATGCAGTAGTAGTGTGGGTTAATGTCATAAAGAGTTGACATAATATAATGGAAGGATGACACAACGCAATAGTAGTGTGAGTAAATGTCATAAAGAGTTGACATAATATAATGGAAGGTTGACTTGACGCGTCGGTTGACAATGGTTTTCCTTGGGGTGTCAATTTCAAATGTTACCCTCCAAAACAGGCACCATTTATTTTATTATACTGAATGTCTTATTGATTAAGGACGTCAGCAAAAAAAAAAAAAAAAAAAAAAAACGTCGATCGTCTTTACGTTCATGTATAGAAAGCTTTCACTCTCACTGGTTCACTAATCTCCTTACTGTTTGTTTGATACTCGAATTAGAGTCGTTTATCATATAAAATTTTGTTATTTCTGGCTAGCAAGCATATTTTCTACACTCGCAAGCATGTATCGTCTGTCGTTTGTTGTTTTCAAGTAAGCGATATCGGACGCAAGCTTTTATTGACGTCAAGTTAATTCCGGTTCTTTCAAACGCGCAACTGACGTTTTGAGAATTCTACGGTGAACCGTACGCGCATAATTTCCACGCATGTGGCATTACCGTTGTGTTACCCGTTGTCACGTGTGTTGCTAAGGCTCAGGGTAATCGAACGGATTGTTAACTGCGTCTAAACCAATCAGATTTTAGCATTTAACATGAAAGTATAATAAAATAAAATAATAGTAGGAGTAAATGTCATAAAGAGTTGACATAATGAAACCGAACGTTGACACAATGTAATAGTAGTGTGAGTAACTGTCATATGGAGTTGACATTATGTATAGGAAAGTTCACACAATGCAATAGTAGTGTGAGCAAATGTCATAAAGAGTTGACATAATGTAAAGGAAAGTTCACACAATGCTATAGTAGTATGATTTAATATCATGTAGAGTTGACATAATGTAATAGAAGGTTAACACAATGTAATAGTTGTGTGAGTAACTGTCATATGGAGTTGACATAATGTATTTGAAGGTTGACGCAGTGCAATTGTTGTGTTCTGCTATAAGGCAGTGACGGCGTTCCATATTCATGTGTGTAAATTTTCTCGTATGAACACGCAGCAGATTTACTTATGTATGTATTTTTGTTTTGTTTATTGCATAAATCTCCATTTTAAGGTCATACGCAATGTAGTTTGAACTTTATTGGGTTCTTCCCTGGAGTTAGGGTTCCACTAAATGAAGGACCCGTGTGCAATACTTTTAATGTCTATATATGGATTTGTACACCTCTTCTAAAACAATTTTTGATGAAAAAAAAAAATCTGTAATTTATGTTTTGTAATTTTTGTGCATTTTTCTTTGAATAATGCAAAAATTTTCACAATTTGATATCTTTTCAAAACCCCTGGTAACGCATGCTGATTTTTTGTCTAAGAACATGTAATGGTATTGTAAGTTTAAATTTAGAATATCTTGAAAAATTTTCAGTATGTGAGGTACGTTGCGTATGTCCTTAAGTGTTGTTGCGTTTATGTATGCATTGGCGCGTAAAATATCAGTTGGTAAACATGGTGGCTAGAAGGTAAAACTCTAAACAAGGAGCCATTATCTCCTCCGAGATAAATTTTCGAATTTGCCAAAACGAGGGCGTCTTGCACCCTTTCTGGCAAATCTATGTTTATGTCTCTAAAGATATAGCTGTGGTCGCAAACAAGTGCCCTGTAGGTTCAATAAGTAGTGTCCTTACTATACAAGTTGTCTGCTTTGGAATGCTCCGGAGCTATGATAGGAACATACATTCCATCAATTGCTCGGGCCCAATAACCGTTTAGCTCTTGATGACTTTCTTCTACCTTTCTCTTTCTAATTCAGGCAAGCTACTCACATATCACATACATGTATAAGTTATAATGTTACAGGAATTCAATAAACTCGTTGAAAGTAAGCATTCGTAAGTATCCTCCTTGGCATCTGATCCCAGCATGAATGTAACAGGGGTTCTTGTTAATTTCCTATTCAAGTATTTGTATTGTCAAAAGCCTTTAGAGTTGGATCACTGTTAGTTTTCTTCATCTTTTTCATTCTCCTTAAAAATACATAATTACATGGCTGGCGTTTTTCATATTAATTGTTAGTGGATCGGATATTCATGTACACTGAACTGACGACGGATTTTTTCGTTATTTCCCGATCATGACAATGAGCATACGGCGGGTGTGAGCGGTCGCAGGAGGTGTTCACTCATCCATGGTACCTGATCCCATCTCTGATGTTTTGGAGGTCCGTGTTTGTATTGTTTTATGGACTTTGATATTGAATACTGTTCGTTATCTCCATATTTTTCATGTATCATATTTAAGCAGATATTTTATAATGGCCTCACACACTTGATGTACTGTAGATTTCCCAACACCAAAAAGATTCAAATCGTCCTATTTCTGCTAAAGACGTCAATCAGTAGATGGCAACAGTCACCTTTTTCTTTGCACCTAACGGGTCTTTTACAGTCTTTAGGACCGAGGTCAAAATATTTTCCAACATTAAACAACAATTTTAATAAATTTTCCTTCTTCGTGTGTAATTTCTTAAACCATTCTTCGCTTTGTCCTTAAAGTCATTAAGTTCCTTTTCTTTCGTACCATGAAATTAGTGGATCGGATTTCCACCCTAGTCTTTAAGGAACATTCTAAAGTTAGTCTTTTACCCAAACAGTAAGAAATACACTTTTTCTAAAAAAAAATTCATAATTCTGAGTGAATCTGTCCATTCCTTATTTTACATGAAAATACATGTACGAGGATTTACTAACAGTACATAAATCTCGTCTGAACGCATAGCAAATTAACTTTTACTTACGTGTGTAGATTTACTTATACGTAAATTTGCACATATAAGCAAATTTTCGTCGTATGAATGGGGTATAAGATTAAAATGTATGTCTGCAAATAATTTTCTGTTTTATACCAATTTGAATTGAAGTATATGGAGATAACGAACAGTATTCAAGCTAAAAAAAGAAGTCCATCTAAAATGTAAAATAGGAGAAGAGCAAACACGGTCCTCCAAAACATCAGAGATGGGATCAGGTGTCATGGAGGAGTGAGCATCCCCTGCCAACCGGTCACATTCGCCGTGTGATTTGAATCTTTTCGAGCTAAATATTGGAAAGTATTTTAATGCTAACAATCTTTGACAGATTTTACAATTAACTAAAAATATAAGGTCTTAGTCGTACATTCCTTTGTAAAACGGGAGCAAGAGCTAGATCGAAGGATGCCAAACAAGGCATTTGCGAAAGAATCAGACTGTACTTTAAATATGCATACCTTCATAGAGTAATACTTATAAATTCTTACAAGTAGCGTTGGCAAATCGGAAGATTTTTTTAACCGGTTACTCGCTCAATCTTCCGATCGAGTACCCGGTTACTCGGATGATTTATTCATATCTATCATTTATCTCAACCTTTACATCATCGGTAGTAATAAAACACAAATATATAAACCATTCCACATGCAGACGTGTTTATAACTAACATAAACGAAGAGAATTAAAACTATAGGGTCACTTCCAGCATTCTTAAATTGTACGTTTTAATCAGTTGTCTTTTCTGTGTTTCAGACCTGGTCACATAGTCGGGGTAGTATTCGGAGTTCTTGCAGCAGCCGCTGCGCTCTTCATTTGTGTATTTTGTGTCATAAAATACATGAAGTCCAAGAACAGCAGGAGACCAAGTAAGAGTATAAAATTTTCTTATTAACTTGTACTAACTGCCATATAATTATTCGACCCTACCTTCTTTATTATATGCTGTTAAGACCATGCATAACATGTACATGTACAAAAAGATAACTCATTTGCTCATTGGTGTGAAACACTAACACATACAAGAACATCGATTTAGCATTTATTATACTCTGTTAATTTTTCTAAAATAATAACCTATATGAAGCCTTTACATGACATTACTATTTTTTTAACTTAGGTGCCTACAAATCCAATGGACATGAAAATCCTCCATCATATGCCCCTCCCAGTTACGAGATGGCGAATTCAAACCAGAAATCCCCATACCCAGTCGATAACGCAGGATATTCCCATGGGGGAGACTTCAATGGTTACACACAGCCTACACCGTATTCCCCAAGCAATGGGACACAACCTACACCTTACCCCCAAACCAATGGGACACAACCCACACCTTACCCCCCAACCAGTGGCTACCCTCCCTATCCTACAGCTGACAATACGTGGGGCGAAAAGAAATACTGATTTCTACTTTTAGATCTTTTTTTAAAGACTTTTTTGTTGTAAGAAAACCAATTTCTGTTTAATCATTCCCTCAATCCATGACATTCTTCCTTTATGGTGTAAGTTTTATGTTTTATACAAACATCATTTATTTTTATGTAAAAACTGTACAACTGCCAAAGACTGTGTATTACAGTGTTTCCATTACATTTCTCCAGTTACAATTCCATTACCTTTATAGATTTTGATTCTTTGAACATGATTCTAGCACAAACATCTTAGGTTCAGATGAAAATGAAGTCATATTAGTCTATAACCTTCTAATGTCTTAAAACATTTGCTTGTGAGTAAGTGTATGTAATTATAAATGTACCAGTGTATACAAATGTCAATAATGATTACACATGGGAGAGGACTCTTTTTAATATTTTTTTCAATGTGCGTCTTTTAATGATATTACTTGTCATTATATTTCCAGATCTGCATACATAACCATCATTTTAGTTTAATTTTAAACAGATTAGAATCTCATATTTTTAAGCAACGATCATTTTTTTTTTGCATGTATCGTATGTAGATATACAACTGTATGTTTACTTCATGTGCCATTTTTAGGAGAATTTATATAGTTTTAATTTGCAAAATTTGAATGAGAGTAACAGATCAAAATAATTTACTTGCCGAGATAAACTGATCATAATAATTAATGCATGTAATCTTTTAATAATCTCAGATACATTATCTGTTGTTGAAACTGTGATATTGTTACTAATGTATTCATGTATTAAAACCAAGTGCTTAATAAAAAAAATTTAAATGAAGAAATATGTTTTTCGTGATCTAAATGACAAAAAAATAAGACAGCGGAAAAGGAATTCAATAAAAAAAAGAATTAAAAGTTAAAAAAAGGCAGGGCAAGAAACTTGTTGGAACCGCAAGGAAAACCATTGTCTCATGCCAAGGTCCGGAGGCGGCAACAGTTCAAGAAGGATACATTTGGTTGTGGTTTGCGACGATGAAAGACAACAATCTTAGTAATTGTAAACATGAGACCCATTACCACATTGCTAACTTGTACATATTAGCAATCATTATCTTAACGACAAATGTAATAATAGTACGTACATTTTTTATGTAAATAGGCCTAGACATAATGGAATCCCCTTCTCGATATCAAAAATGTCTATATTTATGCCCCCCCCCCCTTCCAAGAAGGGAGCTCGAGGGCTTATTGCTTTGCTGCTGTCGGTCCAACATCACTAAATACGTTCATTGTCATTGCAGAGGTTACACATATAGAAATGAAATTCAATAAACAGATTTATCATAAGAATATCTAGATCGTTTTATTTTAGGTACGATAAGGCCATTTGGGTTGTGCCCCTTGGACTTAAGAAAAATTCAATAATTTGCAGTTTCCGTTCATTTTCTTTGCAGAGATGGCTTCTATTGAAATGAAATTTGGTATGGAGAATTACCATAAAAATATCTAGGTCAAGTTCTGTTGTGGATATGATCGAGCAATTTTGGAAAGAATTATGCCCCTTGGACTTAGAAAAATTTGCAGTGGTTGCTTCTATTGAAATTGAGTTTGGTATCCCGATTTATAATAAGAATATCTAGGTCAAGTTCTGCTTTGGAAATGATCGAGCCATTTTGGACAGAGTTACGCTCCTTGGACTTAGAAAAATTCCAATTATTTGCAGTTTCCGTTCATTTTCTTTGCAGAGTTTGTACATATTGAAATGAAATTTTGATGTACCGATTTATCATAAGAATATCTAACTCCAGTTCTGTTTTGGGTACGATCGGGCTATTTTGGACAGTCATGCCCCATGGACTTAGAAAAAGTCCAATCATTTGAGGGAGGGGAGCATAAGAATTTTACAAACACTGAAACATCTTGTTTCAATTTTTTTTCGAATTAAGATTTTTCTAAGGAAAAAATAAATTCCATAAAATTTTCACAGCAGAGGTTGGATTAGGTGTCTACGAAGAGAAAACATCCCTGTTGAACTCTTTAAATAAAAATTTATTGAAACCAATGCATAGGTATTTGTTGAATAGCTTTCGGGTTGTTTTGAAAAGATTGCTACAAGTATTGTTGATTAGACATTTTTATAAACATTAAAGGTTTTTTGCATCAGATTTAGAAAAAAAGACGAAAGAGACCTGTCAACCTCGACAGTTTAAATCAGCGACTTTCTAAAAATAAGTATTAAATTTATTCATGAACGTAAGAAAATTCAAAAGCATTCTCCATTGTTTTCTTTTATTTATTAATAAATAAATACATCTAATAATTTGATACGTCTAAGTACACAAGCGTTAACTGCTTTTGCTGCTCTTTTTGGAGTATTCTTTGACATAAAAGTTGGAGAATAGTCCAATTAATGTAAATGCGTAAATAAAAACAGCGTAATTAAAACCCTGTGGAAAATTGCATTCTGTCAGCATGTTGTAGCCGGTGTGAACGACGACCAATACAAACTGCGTCTGAAAAAGAAATGTAAAGGTTTTCAACAAGGTAACGTTTGAATGATTTCCTAATATTTTCATAGGAAAAATTTAAATTCTGAGTTACGTTGATTAGATAAAAATAACAGACACAATGGCCAAAGGGCTCCCACGAGCCACCTACAACGTAACCTTTCTAACATTGTAGATAAAAGAAACAAGTCAAGTCAACAAAGTATCAATTAATGAATTTCAACTACTAGTACTAGTACTGTATTTTGAAGCTTAAAGTCAAAACCCCAGTTTATTATTTGTGTTTAAATTCCCTCTATAATGGCAAAATTTCTGCCTCAATGATTATGTTCTGAATAAACCAAAATCGTCTGTTACAGCATTATGACTTTTTGTAGCCTTTTTACTAAAAGAACAAATTTAAAAGACTGAAAGAACAAATTTAAAAGAACAAGGACGCATTAGACTGGCATTCGGGAGGAATTTAGCAAATTTTCCTTGATCTGTCGTAACAAATTAAATGTTGAAAACTAAACAAACAAAACACTTTGAAAATCAACTTGCTTCACTTGATTGAATTAATTACAAGAATTTCAAAGAAAAACCCATGCACACGTGAATTATATCAGAAGGAAGCGCTATGCTGTATTTGCTCTAAATTTTGTGACAGGATACTTTTATCTCCATAATTATATCTCATTAATTCAATCTCAATGTTTTAAAAATTAAGCATTCAAAATTATTGTTAATGTGTTTATTCTTTTGACTCATTTATATTGATTTGGGGTTTATAAACTAACGCACCAACTGCATCTTTGTGATGTATTTCTTCCACCATAGATATCGCTGAACTTCCGGTCCCAGGGCCGCGAGCCCGTAATACATGTACATCCATACATGTACAAAACAGTTGATCATTGCTAGGAAAAAAGCTACAAAAAAAGACAGCCTTCAATTAAAAAAAAAGTAACAAATGTTACATAATAGCCTTTAGTATAGGCTAGAAAACAAAATGTTATGTTTTATTAAATATTATAGCAAAATTATTGAATTATAACACACTATACATGTATGTTTATGTTATCTGATAATAAATCACATACATATAAAGATTTTCTGTACATATGAATCTTAAACAGAAAACATCATAAATGACCTTCATAGAACCTTGAAACAAAATCAAGGAGAATACATGTATTACTTGATCTTTTACCATCCAGAAACGTAAGATATCTGAAGAAATTAAATTCCCTTTATTTAAATTCTAATCAAGACGAATAGAATCCGTCCATTAATTATGATATTTGATATACATGCATGTATGTATCATTATGTATTACTTACACTGTCCTCCCGCAATGAATTTGACCCCTAACCACCAGTTCAATAACATTGTGCTATGGTGATACACGTGTAGGAATGTTATCTGATTGTTCTTCTTGCGTAATATAAAGAAAACCTGTAAAAAATTATATATACGGAATTTGAAATAATTTAGATGTACATGAACAGCTGTCCCACATGGGTGGGTGTAGCTATTTTTTTACGGTATGTTTATTGAAGAAAAAATAATATATAGGCCTAATAACTCAGTAAGAAATAATACCCAATGAAAGACCTAATGAAAAGCATGCATTATATATGCAACAATAAGATAATATGGAGGTATATGTATAAATATTGCATATAAACTTACTGTATCTAGTAGTTCTATAATTTTGGAAAAGAAATACCACCAACATACACTGGCCATCTGTGAAAAATACCAAATACAAATTGAAAAACACTCCGTCAACGAAAAGATTATGTAGTGACTTCTACTATATACTAGTACTTTTAATGAAACAGTATAAGTAAAAAAAAGTGGAAAAAAAGTGAAACCTGAGTATTTTAAAAATAAACTAAATTTTATAACACGTAAAATTAAAGTACATGAATCACGCTGTACATTTTGGTTATCATTTTGTAAATTTTGCATTTACACCCCCCTAGTAAATTAAAAATTTACAACATGATAGAAGGAATACTTACTCTCAACGCTAAAGGATCATCCGAGTAATCCACTGGCTGACATTTCAGGCTATAGGACGACTTAATGGCACTAACTAGAAACTGGAAATATAAAGATTCATAATGTTTATGTATTATATAAGTTCCTAGCATTAAGATGAATATATAAAAATGCAATATTAAATACTACAGTACAAGAAAAGGGTTGCTAAATGAAATTTCTTCGCTTTGACTTCAATTTCTTTCTTTTTACTTAAGTTTATAATTAATATGGTTTATGGAATACACTTTGAGACTATGAAAAGAATTATGTGTAATGTACAAAAAGCAGATTTTTTTTTCAAAATATGCACGTGATTGGTTGAAAGTCTTGGATTTCTGACGCCAACAATGTCTACATTTACATGTACAGACTTCCCCACAATGTCAAGGTCACAAAACCTTGACATTCTCAGGATGATGTACAGAGTGTCTCTTTCGAGGGTAAATACAAGTCTGATTACAGGCTATACAAGACGTGCCATCAATAGAAGAAATGAAGCATAATAAAACTTAGTCTACATAATAAAATTACCTTACAGGTTCAGAGATCCATATCTAAAGCCGTAATAAAGAGTTAAATCACCCTACTTGAAGACAACCTCATTAAAGTTATATTAACGAAAAACAAAATGACCCCCTTTCATAATTTTTTTTGTTTATTTCTGAAGACGAGGGAGGGATTGGGTTGAGAATTTAATCAAATGACCTACCTCTTCAAACATGTACAGAGATAATCCAACCAAGGCTAAGTTGTAGATGACCAACCATCCTTGAAGTTGAAGTGGTTTATACTGCTCCATCCAGCGGGGACCCTGTTTGACCAGAAGTAGGTATAGGACGAATATTGTCAGGATGGGTACGGGGGATTCCATCAGGAGCCATTTCTCTACCCTCTTGTCTGCAGGTGATAATACACCCGTGATGGAGAAATTGTATGTAAAATTTCATGTACAATGTATGTACCATCATCGCTAGCCAAGGGTTTCCGAAATCTACTCTAAAAGAGTAGAGTTGATCGGAAACCCTTGTACAAGAGTAGAGTAGATCAGAAATCTTTGTACAAGAGCAGAGAAGATCGGAAACCCTTGACTAGCGAAGATGAATATGTTTAAGACCTCCCAAACCATTGGTTCATTTGAATATTTAATGTTTTGATATCGCTTTCTATATTTTACATGTATAAACTATTAAACACAAAATGATAAATGATAGAATTTTGTAATAACATTCCTTAATTTTTTTCCCCTATAGTACTTGTGGACTGGGGTGTTCTCGCGCAAGGGGAAAGATTGTCTAAATTAAAGACGACATGTATCAGCTTCAGACATGTTTCTGCAGAAGTCACAAGTCTTGTAATTGATTTTTTTTAAGTTAATAGATTTTCCTTTTAACTGATAAGAGACAATTAAACCCTGGTTTTCATTTGTATTCAGCATTCCAAAGATTTAAGCAAATCAAACAATCGTAAGAACGTTTTACTCATTTTAAGATATGGAGTTTATTTTATCTTGACAATTGTTTACATGATTTATTGACTGTTTGGACAAAATGTGTAAATATTATCATTTGGAATAAAGCTTTTGAGAAAAGGCACTTAAATCACTAACTTTTAAAAAGCGATATCCCTTTGCACTTCGCAAAAATTGAAAGGAAATTTAAAAAGAACTGCATTATTTGCAATTTGATAACAAAATCATGCAAGTCATTGTGTTTTCACATTCAAGCTTTTATTCTATGTATACATGCAAAATGAAATGGAAAAGTACGTTTTGTCTGTATTTTATCAATTAACGGAATCATCTATATGATAAAGTCATATGAGTTTTGCTGCAGCAGGCATTCTATATTAACCAAGGTGTCTTAAAATAGGTAAATATTAAATTTATACTTAGAGATTTCTGTAGCAATGACTAAATAAAATCAGAAAAAATATGCCTGTATAAATTAAATACATTGATATCAACAACGTTTAGCAATTAAAACAGAACATCAACAGATCAAGATACTAATTTTCTTACCTCCTTTAGAAAGGAAAACCTCATACAGTCTTTTCAATTCCTCCACGGTTAACATTGTTAAATCCACCCCAACGGGTTATCTACAGAATATATAAGTACTATCACTGCCGCTACACTTGTATAGTTTTTCTTTACAAATCAAATACGGGTCAACAAGCTATAGAGTAGCCGGTGTCCATTGTAGTAATCACCGCGTGTTACCCGGATATGTGCTGGGCTGATATGGGTCAAAGTTTTCACTGCAATGTCAAGCATATATTACTACTGCAAAAGCTTACGTAAGGCTGAAAGGGCGCATTTTAACTTTGTTGTTAACGACAGACACGTGCGTTTAAAGTTCCACCCGTGATCCACCTATACCTCGTAACCCAATTTGTACTTTTGTCAGCTGTTTGTTATAAAACCGGACAGCGTCACCTCAGATTTCAAGATCTCGGCCCATTCAACAAAATTCCTTCCGTGGCGGATCATTGAATTTTTATAAGAAGTGGAGGGCTAAATGATGAAAATGTTCTGCAGGTATTTCAAATAAAGGATGACGTAAACAGTTTTAAATACCCCCATGAGATTTACCTAAATGTGGAAGGAATAAGTCTTTAGCGAAATTTAGATTATAATTCCCAAGGCAAAATTTATGAATCTTGACTTGAAGTACCTGTAGTATACGTACATGTATATAGTGCTAACATCGATAATGGCTTAGTATTCTAATTGCAGAGACGCGGTCAGTTAAGTCATTTTATATGAATGGCTGGACCCTCATGGCGGAAAATGAGTACTAGTATATAGGTTATCAAATTGTACCTTTATAAAATAACCAAAGGCCTGTTAGATGGAAAAATTCAATATGTTTTAACATAAATTGTATTTATGATACAAAAATATAAGTAAGGTGGTCTTACCTGACCAATATATTCTTGTCACTTGAAAACACGGGTAAGAAAATCAATATCTTGATACTTTCACCGGTTATATACCAGTATATGGAAAAAATATATATAGTTACATTGATATTCATCTGTTAGATACAGCAGCATATCCTCATTTTGACCGAAGAATATTTTTCAGCAGATTAATTGCAGTGTTTAAGCAGTGACTGATACATCAATGTATTGGTGCTTTCGCACCAATCATGAACTATGAACCAGACATTTCTCTCGGAAGCTTGATAATATACTAGAAAAAGTTCTGTTTTATTTGAAAGAAATATTTTTCACTAATGTTTGAAGAAGTGCAAGATATTGTAAAGAAAGAGAGAACATCATCAGCACCAGGTCCCAACGTTATCCCCTATAACGTCTATAAGAGATGACCAAAGATTCTTAGACACTTATGGAAGCTATTAAGAGTGGTATGGAGGAAACGGAAGATTACATCTTGTTGGGAGAAAGCTGAGGAGTGTTTTGTACCAACATTTAGATATATCGACGACGTATTGTCAATTAACAATTTCAATTCCTACGTCGATTCCTACGTCGATACGATACATCCTGGTGCTTGAGATAAAAGATACCACAGAGTCTGACACATCTGTTTCATACAGTCTGGATATTTTACTTGAAAAAGACGTTAGTCGTAATCTAACAACCAAGCTATATGATAAAAGTGATGACTAACTTTCTATCAAAACTTCCCTTACTTATGCAGCAATATACGTTCATCACCTGCATACGGAGTGTATATATCTCAGTTGATTTGATATTTAAGAGCATGCTCTACGTATGAACAATTTCTAAAACGAGGTGAATTATTAACAAGCAAGTTGATAAAACAAGAATATCAACAGTCTCGTTTAAAGTCATCATTTCGTAAATTCTATGGTCGATACAATGACCTTGTCAGCAAATACAATTTACCATTGAGACAAATGCTGACTGATGTTTTTCATACTAATTGTTAGTCCATTATTTATACAGTGAATTGACCACGGATTTTCCGTCATTCCCCGATCATGACAAGGAGCACACGGCGGGTGGGACCGGTCAGCAGGGGATGCTCACTCCTCCATGGCACCTGATCCCACCTCTGATGTTTCGGAGGTCCGTGTTAGCTCTGCTCATATTTTGTATTGTTTTATGGACTTTGATATTGAAAACTGTTCGCTATCTTCCATATCCTTCTTGTACCACAGGAGGAGAAATCAGTTGCAAACAATCTCATTGCTAAATGTAGAGGGGTCAATCTTCTCCGTCCTGGCGAGGAGGTTGACAGCTTACATGTCCAAAAATCAGTATGTGGATATATAAGTACAGAATGGAGGTGTACATCGTACCTGAGTTCTCTGGATGTATTGAACATACTAGCGTCTGTCATCATAACACAAGTAAATCATGAAGCAAAAATCAGCAAGAAAGAGCTCATAGTGGTTTGGTTAGATTAAGCAAATGCATACAGAACGATCCCACATCCACTCATAGAAGAGACCCTGAACACAACCATATACATGTACCAGAACACTTTCGGATGACGAAAGTTACTTCAGTGGATACACCTACGCTTCACAACTGCCATCTAAACATCTTGGCAGAAACTGCAGAAGAGAAATGTGACAGGTTGTACCATCTCAGTGATTCTATTTGTAATGGATATGAATATGACCATCAAGGCCAGAGAGAGAGAGAGAGAGAGAGAGAGAGAGAGAGAGAGAGAGAGAGAGAGAGAGAAACCAGAGGTCCCAAGACATCAAGCAACATCAGGCAACCACCAAACAGAGGAATCATGGATGATCTTACAATAACAACTGATACCCTTAAATAAGCAAGATGGATACTAAAGACTTTAGAAGAAACACTGAAACAGCATCATGGGCAAGAATGACCTTTAAACCTAAGAAGTCAAGATCCTTAATTATAAGGAAAGGGAAAGTTACACAGAAATTGGAGCTTACAATCCAGGGGGAGAATATTTAACCTATCATAGGAAACCCTATAAAGTGCTAATAGGCAAATGGTTTGACGAAACACTTGGATATAAAGCCAACATTCAAAAAATAGAATAACAAGTAAGAGAAGGGTTGATTAATTAATTGTATGTTGTTTAACATCCCTCTCGAAAATTTTTACTCTTATAGAGACGCCACCACTTGCCCGTGGAGAGTTACAAATTACGGTGATTGAACAGGGAAGGATCTTTTTCGTGCCAGCACCTGCTGCGACACGGGACCTCGGTTTATACGGTCTCATCCTAAGTACCGGTATCCACGTCCCACAGTGGGATTCGAACCCGCGACTTAAGGTCGGTAAGGATCAACCCCTTACTTCGCGACTTTAAAGCAGATGCTTTAACCACTGCGCCAAGCGGGCGACGAGAAGGAATGAGGAACATAGACAAAACACAATTGTGTACGATATGCTACCAACACCAGCCAATCTCCAGTGATTGGATTTCATACAAACACCAACGTGCCTTTTTTGTGGAAGAAGATGCACTCTACAGCACATTCTATCCTCCTGTCATGTGACATCATCACAGGAAAGATACAAATGACGTAATAATCAGGTTCTAAAAAGATGACAGACACGATAGCTAAAGAGCAGAATGAAAGCAAACAGAAAACAGTGTTCAAATTAAATTAAGTAAGATCTTATTGGATTTTATTTAAATCAATTTTCTTTATATACAATACTAGTATTGTTCTTTTTCATATGAATCTGAATTAACAATCCAGCAATTATGACAAATGACATGTTGACAGAGTTAAGTATTGATTTTTTCTCTCTTTGAAATCAAATGACCAGTTAGCATTTGCCAAAAATATACTGCACTGTTCTGCAAAAAAAAAAAAAAATACATCTTGTAATGCCTGGCAAGTTATCTAATCAAAATAAACTTAGTTAATAAATATACAGTATGAGTGTTCTCTTTCGTACAAATCTCAGCTTACAGTCTCCAGCATTTATGTTTGAGGACTCTTTCGACAAAGTTACGTACTGATAATTTTTTATCGAACGACTAATTTGGAAAAGCGAAAAACATTCTGAAGAAATGAACAATCCGCTTTGACTGGTGAGTAATTTTATTTTTATTTGCAAGCATATTAATGCTTCTTATCTGAATGAGAATTTACCTACCCTTATATTGCACTGCACTGCAATGTTATGTCAAGCAAACATCCATAAGTCCAATTTTGTTTTACATAATTCTTTTTTTATTGAAAATGAAGTTGAAACAAAAACATTTTTAGTATTTATTTTCTTTTAAAAAAAAGGGGGGGTTTCAGACAGGATGCTTTTAAATAAAGATATCAGTGCAGTGCTGCGTAGCATCTCAATGTAATTGCTTGACGTACTGTCTACTTAAAACACATTTGGTCTATCATTATGAAGTTTAACATTAAAATCAATAAGGTTTTTTTCTGCTTGACTGACTGACGAGTGAACAATTTGAGACTCGATCAAATGCGCTTCTCAGTACTGCATGCTTATAGCCAGCAAGCGGTACTTGTTTAATGAGAAAAACTCACTCTACAAGTAAGACCAGTCTTAGCATGTGTGAGTGACTCTCTAGTCTTATATAGTATACAAGCTTGTAATTCGTTAGTTTTGCCTAAACATTTGCATAATCGTTGTGTCTACGTTGTTCAAAGGGGCATAATTTGATTATCGAACATTGTAAGAAACTTACATTATGCAAATTTTGGAACATATTTTTAGCTGCAAGAGTAAATTGAATATAAAGGGTGACTTTGGAGGGTGGATGGTGGGGAATGTTTCTAAACCCTTAACTAGTTTTGCTTGTTGAAATATTTCACTGCAATACATTGTACTGCCTAGCCAATCAAATTAAACTTAATCAATTTGTTGTCATTGAATTAAAAATATCATTAAAAACTTTTTTATTTCATTTAGTGTATTGAAAAAAAGTAAAAACAAACAAACAAACTGGATGAACTATTTTATTCACATTTAACTAATGACTGTTCTCTTTCATATAAATCTCAATTAACAATCCAAAAACTTTCTGTCGAAGAGCTTTTTCGACAAAGTTACGCATTAATAATTTTTAATCGAAGGACTAGTTATTGTATGCGCAAAACATCCTGAAGAACTGATCAATCCTCTTTGACTGATAGATGTTTTATTTCTATTTGTGAGAGAATTAATATATCTTATCTATTTAAAGATAATAAGATTGTAAGAATTTGACTTTAATGCAATGCATTTACAGTGCAAACTTTAAATGTTTCTTAATTTGTGTTTTGAAATAAAAGTTGGAAGGGATTTTTTTTGTTCAAAACATACACAGATCTGCTTTGTAAAAGAAGGTGAAACAGCGAAGAAGACAGAAGAGAAGACCTCCGGAATACTTAACCAGGCAGACGATTGGAAGCTGGCTGTAGATCTAGGTCAGAAACTGTCATTCCCAGAGATAATTCCAACTAATCTCAGGACTGATATGGTCCTGTGATCATCAAGAGCAAAGAAGATCAATATCATAGAACTGACAGTTCCCTGGGAAGAAAGATGCGATGAAGCCCATGAAAAGTAGAAGGCAAAATATGACCCATAGTTAGCAGAATGTAGGGAGAAAGAATGGCAGACTTGGAACTATCAAGTAGAGGCTGAATGTAGATACATCCCAGCACAGTCAGTTTGGAGGGCGTTCTCATGACTAGGGGTGATAGGGAGACGCAGGAGAAGAGCAGTCCATAAGATGGCCCAAGTAGCAGAAAGACATCATGCTGGGTTTGGATAAAGAGGAGTTTTTCTTTTTTGCTTTGGATATTTACGTGTGGGTCATCTTTGTAACTCCAGTTTTTTTAGATCCTATTTGCAGCAGGATATATGTAAAACTTTCCCCGATTCCTCATTTAGAGAAACGTGTGAACACAGAAGCTGTCTCTAACAACAAGAGTTATCTCTCTTTTGTTACTTGTTGCTCCACATTGGTAAAAAAGGAAATGTATCTTACAAAATTACTTTAATTTTTCATAAAATATGTACAAACAAAAAATAAATAAAATGAGTCAAAACATCAACGGAACAAGACAAAATGTCCGACGCTGACAAACTAAAATGAACGTACACTCATAAAAAATAAGTAAATACCCTGGTATGATTTAATTAACGTATAACATATTAAATTTTGTATCAATGCGTAAACATCTTTCACAGAAAGGTTTTTTTTCTTAATTATTTTTTCTGTGGTGTTATTAACAGAAGAAGTCATCATCCACAACTCTCAGAAACAGAAAATTGTCTAAGACAAAATACTAGTGTGCAAACCGAACTTTGAAAAAGAAAACCGAAAATTGAACCTCTTTTTTAGAGCATGCGGGTGATCAATATACACTTAGGAACAAAAGTAAAATAAAAACTGGTAAAATTTAATACTGGTTATATTACCCATAGAAAAATAAATCATGAAAAAAACGTATGCACCATTTTTTATGAAAAACAATTATACCAGAATGTATCACATCTGGTAGCAGTTTCTTGCATCGATGGTTAAGGAGACCGATTACTAGTATTTCGTTTCCAAATCAGCTTTTCTTTTTCTTGTACGCCTGTATATAAAAGTTCATAAAGAGGCTGAAGAAAATCACGGACTGAATAACGCTGGACAGTGAAAATAACCGCGGGAATCCACAGTCACCAAAACAGAAGTTATAGAGGGCATGGGAACTAGTCAACACAAACTGAAACTAAAAACAGAAAGTTGTAAAATTTAGGGATAAAAAAAACAATACTCTCAAAAATTTTTGAAATTTATCTTTTCAAATAAATTGCATATAATGCATTCTGTAAAAACAAAGTGTTCTGTTTATATTATTTGTTTTCCGCAGATGCAAAGAAATGTCTTTACAAATCACTGTCAAAAGAATTCATTCCCCAATGCATGTACGAAATAGAAATTCCATTTTGCATACACATGATTAAGGATTTCGTCAATAGTCATCAATAACTTCTTTTCAATTTTCTCAGCATGCTTGAAATTGGCAGATTGATAAAAATCACAGAAAGAAGAAGGCCACAAAATTAATTTGATAAATAGCTTAGATCGTTTTACCAACTGTAACTTTGTCAGGTATTTCTTCCACCAAAGATATTTCTGCATGTGTGGCCCCATGGCTGCTAATCCATAATAGGCGTACATCCAGACGTGTACAAAGGAATTCAGTAGGGCAAGCATAAAAGCTGGTTTTGCAAAAGAATAGAAAAATCAATGGCATTAATATACATGTATGCATGTGCTGGAATACAGATTTTTTTTTTTTACATATTGTATTAAAATCTCTAAAATATATTAACGACTTTTTTATACAGGCGTCTCGAGCCTCAATAGCTTTTAGATGTCGTGTTTGAAATTAGTTTTTTTTTTTTACAATATATATTACACAGTTTGTCTTATTTAGACTGACATGTAGTTCCAGGTACATGTAGGGAAAAATAAATTTATTTTCAAAAAACCCAATTAAATAATTACATGTTTCCATATTTGTTTTAGAGAGATTTCAAATTGACCTACTTTGACCCCCTGGAACAAACTTGACGAACCACCAAGTGTGTAGCAGCATTATGGAATGATGATAGACATGTAGGAATGTTAACTGACTCTCCTTCTTCCGCACAAATGAAAAATTAACTGGAGAAAAAACAGAAATCATTATTATGTTCCCCAATAAGTTGGGGAACATATGTTTTTTTTGTTTCTTATTATTATTATTATTATTATTATTATTATTCCTGGGAAAATTTTGTCTTTTAGTGATCTTGTAAACTACACATCCGACTAAGGTAAAACCTTTTTAGGGTCACTAGGGATGTTATGTAGATTTGCCGAACGAAGGTCATTTTGCGCGCACGTGCTTGCAAGAGCGAGCACGTGCAACACGTTAAATGGCCAATATAAGGTATATTGACTTAACTTTTCTATTTTTTGATGAAATGCTTTGAAACTCATAATGTAAGGATATATTAGTAGTATAGACAAGATGACATGGTCTAAATAGCAAGATCTCACGCGCATGCACGTGCGCTTTGCTCTGATTGGCTGAAACTAAAGTCTCAATATCTTTCTTGTTTTTTGACGAAATCCTTTGAAATTTTCAACATAGCCATGCATTAATATCCTACAACATGATATATAGCAATTATCATGAAAACACGTGCAAGCACATGCGCTGCAATCTGATTGGCCTGAATTTCAAATAGCTATAACTCCCTTGGTTTTCAACAAAACAGGATGGGTTTTGGAACATAGATACATATAATGGACTTCTACAAGAGGGTATGGTCACCATGCACATGCATACATGTGCGTGTACTTGCACTGCAATCTGATTGGCTGAAACTTAAAACAGCTATAACTCCCTTGATTTTCAACCAAACAAGATGGGATTTGGAGCATAGATATATATAATGGACGTCTACAAGAAGGCATGATCTGCCTGCACATGCATGCATGCATGTGCGTGTACGTGCGCTGCAATCTGATTGGCTGAAACTTTAAATAGCTATAACTCCCTTGGTTTTCAACCAAATGGGGTGAGATTTAGAACATAGATAGATGTAATGGACTTCTACAAGAAGGTATGGTCACCATACTCATGTATGCACGTGCGTGCACGTGAAATGGGTAAAATAAAAAATACACTTGAATAATTTTTTTTTTCCATACTTTTGGATTAAATACTTTGATATTTAGCATATTAAAATATATAGATCGTGTAGACAATATGATATGGTCATTACGCACATGCATTAACATGTGTAAGTGTGCAATGATAAAATTTGAATGAACATAGTGCACTTTTTGGTAAACGTTGTTAAAGTCTCAAATGCATAGAGTTTGTCTTATTTAATTACGCTTACAGGGAATATGACTATAAAAGGGAGTTGGGGAGTGTTTGGGGAACATCTGTAACGGTCCCCGTTACAATTAGCACTAGTTATTATCTAACATTGAAAAGACCACTACCCAGCCCATGTGAAAAGCGTGGACGTAGAATTAATATTCAATAAGATGAATAATATACCGGTATATTTTCTAGTAAACAATGTAATATTAAAAACGTGTTCCGAGCAACAGACTTTTTAATGGAACGGTGATGTTAATTTCACTCACTGTGTCTAAAAGTTCGATGATCTTAGAAATAAAATACCAGTAGCAAGCATTCATCATCTGTGACCAAAAAAAAAAAAATGAATAAAAAAATAAGTAAAACAATCAAAGAAATACATTTTAAAAGACTGTTAAAAACATGTAAATATCTTTAGATATTATCTATATATAACTTTTTTCTAGCGTTTTAAATAAATGTACAAAATCATTATTTATGTTATTAGAGACTGAAACCTGAATACTTTTTTCATATTTTACACTCTGTGGGAGATGATCAATATTCGAACTATAGAAATCCCTCGTCTTTTTTCTTACCCTCACAGCTCGAGTATCGTCCGAGTAATCGACTGGCTGACACGCCAGGCTATACGAGGACTGGACGGCTGAGATCAGTATCTGTCAAAATAGACAAACAAACGGATCAGCACTTAATCTGAAATGTCGCTTCAATAGCATCTAGACATTAAATTATTATTTATATTTTGTTTGCACTGTTTTCAATTTAAAACTAATCTTAATGTTTTTTTTTCAAAGAAAGCAAGGGAAAGATGGAGGGAGAATGGAAGGGAGAAAAGGTTCAATGTGTTTTATGTGTTTTATTCCTGATAAACAAAATGTTTTTAAAGTCAATATTTATAATTCAATATAAGTGTCACGCAGACCTGTTACTTTTTAGTGCACATATTCTTATACCAGTATTTGACAAACTTTATAAAAACTCAATAAAATAAACACAAAGTTTACAAGCCGACAGCTGAGTAGAAATAGTGTGTACACATGTATATTGATTGGAAGAGCAAATGTTGATGGTAGGTACCATTCCCTAAAAATGTTGATGGTAGGTACCATTCCCTAAATATTTTTTTTAAAAATAGGAAAGTTTCCACTGAAGTTGTGAAAACAGTACATGTATATAGAAGGAAGAACCTGAAATATTGTTTTACAGATTCATATGTTACATTGATGAAAGAGCTATAAAGTCATAGCACTTAATCGTTGAATCTTCTTAAAAACGGATCTAACTACTGGTATAATATATGTAAACAAAATAAAAAAGAAATTAAAAAAAAAAAAAACCTTCCACGAATTAGTCATTACAAATAAACATTTATTAGTTCTTTATTCTTGAGGTGGATCGAGACACTTTCAATATTTAGAAAATCTCCCACAAAATTAGCGAAACAGCACGACGACATATTTCTTCTATTAAGTGCACATTCTTTATGTATTGAAAATCTGTATTGAAAATCTTATTTTGACTAATATATTTTTACCTCCAATGTTATATACACAGACAGCACCATAACGCTCAGATTGTATATGACCATTGGTCTCTGGACCTGAAGTTGTTTATGCTGCTCCATGACCTTTGGTCCTTGTTTGACCATCAGCAGATAGAGAGAGAAGACGGTCAGTATAGGTACAGGACTGTCCATAAACGGCCAACCTCGCATCCTCTCGTCTGAAGAGCAATAAAGAATAAATAAATATATTTAAGAAATAGAATGACGATGTACCGCGTTCTTTGGTAAAATCAGTTTACACAGATCTAGAAATGGATTCATTTCAGCAACGGTTTCGGGGCAACCTCCGAAAGAAATCTGACAGGTGGGTGTGAATAGGAAGTGGCGGATCTTTTCCCTACATGTAGTACATTTTTTTCAAAAGCTATAACTTGCCATCCCCTCCCTTTCCTCCCTCCCACATTTTATGGACTTGGGTTTTCCTTTTACAAAATGCTAGATATAGAAGTTACCCATCCCAGCGCTCTACGTAACTATACGGATTTGAATTTTCCGATCTAGCTTCTGCTGTTCTATAAGTATAATTTGTCTACCTGGCGTTACAGTACGTAGTGTACTTCCACTAAAGATGGGAGGGTGGGATTTCTGCCCCCCCCCCCCCAGTGCACGTGTGATATACATGTACGACGTGTTTATAAATAAATTTTCTAAAAAAAAAAAAAAAAAAAAAAAAAAAAAATGTGGGATAAAGACTGATAAAAGCTTTGGACAATGTTTTAGTAAGATTAGAAGGTTCATACTTTTATGAAAAGAAAATTCAAAATAAAAACTATTAAAAAATGCCGCATGAGACATTATATTTGATTTGCGATAATTACATGCATCAGATTAACATAATCTTACATAATCCCACTTTTATAAGTTTTAACTTGATATTTAATTAAGGAATAATAAGGTCTTGTGAATGTCATATTGAAAAGCACAAAAAAAAAAAAGAATGAATGAAAGGTATAACTTAATGAAGGAGTATAATCCGTCTTATGATTGCTACGCATAAATCATATACATGTAATAGTAATCATACTTTATCAAACCATATTCACTCAACACAATAAAGAGTTGAGATAGTCTTAGATATGCTAACAGGAGGCTTAGCATTTTTCACACAATGTAAAGATACAATGGCATAAAACGATTTGCCAAAAAAGTAAGGGCAGATTCACATCATGAAATTGATTCACGTCGTTATGTAGCATATTCGATATTGATGACATAATGTAGTAAAGAATTGACCACATGTGACAATTTTTTCACATCATGTAATTAAAATCTGACATCATATTATAGCGACTTGACATTATTGAATTAAAGATAAATTCACATTATGTAATGAACTACTTAGACCAAATAGTAGAGAGTGCACATAATGTAATAATGAGTTGAAAATGAATACATGTATATCTTTACATCACGTAAAAATCTTTTGAAAAAATGTCATAATGAACTGATATAATGCTATGAAAGATTGACGCAAAATAATTGAAGTATGAGTAAATGTCGTAAAAAGTTAACATAATGTCACAGGCCTTTTGATCGCCAAGAAAAAAAAAATGAGGTGTTGAAAAAAAAAAATATTTTTTTTTTTTACACACATTTTTTTTTTCAAGCGATCCAAAAGCCTGTGCATAATGTAATACAAAGTTGACACAATGCAATACAGTGTGAGTAAATGTCACAAAGTTTTGCCATCATGTAATAGAAGGTTGCAGCACATTCCCCGCAATGCAATTGCAGTGTTCTGCTACATCTACATGTATAAATCAGTGATGGCGTTCCATATACTTGTATGCAAGTTATGATAAAAGTTGTATAACAATTGTCTCTGTTACTAAGAGATCAAAATGTCTTAATTTGATTTTGCTTTTAAATCATAGCTTTTCAGTCTAAAATTGCCGTTCAGTCTTGAAATATAATCTTGTCTCCATTCGTACCATTCCGTGGTATAAGACAAGGAAATGTTCAAGGACAATAAACAAATATTGATCCTGGTTTGAAATTGAATCCTTTGTCCGATAAAAATAAAATTAAAGGTCAAGGATGGGGTGATTTGCTATTCAATATTTTTATAAGATAAGAGGAAAATTTATAAACAAATTATACAGTCACCAGATTTTCAATGAGAGAGAGAGAGAGAGATCAGTACGTTTTTTGTACATAGTTGACATAACTGTATCATTCATCAACCTAATAACTCAAACTGAACAAGTATTTGTTGTTTATTTACATCTTCTTTATGTGTCATTCTTTATATGAGTGTCTGCCTAGTGGTACATTCAATATGCAAAAATGACCTTGCAGTAAATGAAATCTGCTGACTGCAGGTTTAAAGAGCAGCTACCCAGCATGATTCTATGTAGGACTCAATATCGTCATTGAAAGCTATTGACTACATTTTTGTTCGAAAACAAACATTGAATGTTTACTGACGCAACAGGTAATATCAGAAGTGAATTGGAGTTAAAATATTTAAAATTTTAAAATGAGAGAGTAAAATGCATGTTTGGACAAATCTTTTTTCCAGAGAATATGTATAAAACTTGATATCTGCATCTCATGAAGTTACAATGTAAATTGAAGTACACTTCGCAAAGAAATTCAATTTGAGATTTATTCAAATCTGATATTTAAAAAAAAGTTGTTTTTTTTAAAGAGAAAGGACATAGTTAAATTTTGTTTACATATTTATTGATATTGTTGTATTTTATATTGATCAAGCAAACCTTCCATTGCCAATTAATGCGAGGACAAAAGGAAATGCAATTATAGTGGGAGGGGGTTACGAAATTGTAACTGGGGTAGTAGGGTAAACATCTAAATTAAATATTTTTCATGGATATGACGGCTCAGATTTCTTTCGTTGCAAAAGTTTATTCTTCATTTTGTTGGTGGGGAGGGGCAGTTATACAGTTATAGCTTCAAATCTATATTTTTACACTAAATCATTTATTTACATCTTTGCAGAATAATATCCTTTTCCTCTTCGCGGTGATTAAATGAATTCACTTACCCCCATTAGTGAAATAAGTCTCCATCAAAGTCATGTTTTCTCTGAGGGCCGTCATCCTCACTATCTATCAAACAGAGACACACACAAAAATATAAACATAAATATATACAGAAATATACATAGAGCGAATGAGAAACGTTACGTTATACCACACCAAGTATCTCATCAGTTACACTGCTTAATGTAAGGTTAATTACACGTACAGGAACTATATACTATACCTGAAGCAGTTTGCCGGTTAACACGTGGTCTTACCGTTATACCCGAGATATAAAAATATTTTTGGAGAGGTCTCAAATCCTTGAAATATTTGTCGAGTTTTGAAAGACAATCCACCCACACTAGCAATTTTTTTAACAAACACGTGTGCAAAAGAGTCAACAAAACATGTCCGTGTGTCACATCATATTTATTTCCCCCATAAGAATTAAATCATACATGCATTAACCAGAATATTGCGGTGCATTTAAAGTCCAGTAAAAGCAGGGAAAAAATTTAACTCATTGTCAAATTTCACTGGAGAAAATTATTAGAAAGATGAGATTGTATCCCATGTCACTGTACTTGAATTATTTAATTTAAATTACCTTGACGATTGGCGGGGGAGGGGGTGAATAAACATTCAGCATCGATAGTATATAGGTTAATAGGTGTGCACAGATAAATCAAAAATGGCACTTACCTACTCAGCTTTCGTTCACGTATCTGTGTCCTGATTTCGTTTCTGTTTACCTATCGAACTACGACTCAAGACTCATTCTTGCTGAACAACTCATTTTCATGTTTAATGTCGATTTGTCAATATCCCCAGCTCTTTGTGAATGACAGAAGAAGGAATACTCAGTGATCCGTCACGGTGTGCCTGATTTCAAGGCTATTTATCAAAAAAATTATATTTTACAAAATGAAGACATAACTTTATTTGTTAAGTCAAAGCGTTTTTTTCTTCATTTTGGTGAAATAGAATATGAAGTTGGGTTTTATGCTATCCGTCACAGCGTATACGTATACGTATACATGGATCGTAAATTTTTAGTATTAAGAAAAAACGAAGTTAATAAATTCTAATCGCTGTTACAAGTAAATATTCTGCACAAAAAAACCCAACCATTTTGTGTTATCAACCGCATGTTTATTTAGCTTCGAATACATCCACAGTCATGTTTGAAGTTACGGAATTAATTATCAACATTTAATTTTAAAAAATCATCTACACAGTAGGTTGAAAAAGTACCGCATTTTGAAACGAATTTGGTCAAGTAACAAAACAGGTACTAAATATTGTGCTTTCGACTTGACAAACTCTGCATCCTCCTTGAAAGATCAACTTTTTTCTGATGGATTTATCGTTTTTTTATTCAATCAGATAAAATTTGACTTGATGCATAAAATGCCTGGGACAATCATTGGCCCTTTTGATGGAAAAAGTTTGTAATTTTCTCAAGGTTGATTTACATTTGGTAAATTTATCACTGTTATACATATATTACATGGCTTCGAGGGCAGCATACCAGAATATTTGCCCCAAGTTGACAGGAAAGCCCTGGAGTGTGATGTCGCCCTCTGGCGACATCATCCGGAACACCTCGGGCCTTTCACAGAAAAACATTTCTGTGAAAGGCCCGAGGTGTTCCGGATGAGGGCGACATAACACTCCAGGGCTTTCTTGTCACCGAGGGGCAAATATTCTGGTATTGCTGCCCGAGAATTAAGCCATGTAATATATGCTACGAGTATAACATTTTAAAACATTGAAGCCAAATCGATCATCGAACTTATTTATTCCGAAATATCCCGTCCTGGTTCATGACATAATGTTTTCAGTATGCTGACACTTGTGTTGATAACCTTTGCTGTATTTAAGGAATTTTTCTCGATGAAATTATCTTATTCCTCCGAATTCAAATAAACAAATCGCAGACGTTGTCCCGACTTTTTAATTTTCACTCGGAGTTCCTCGGATGACTCGTACCTCGCACATAACCTCATACGTCAACGGTGATCTACCATCTTGCTGATTCAGTCATGTGATCTTATTTGAATTTCTCTCAAATGTCATACATTTCAAATCTGAGTTATTTTGTTGCACACTCAACAATTTGTTCTTGCTTTCAAAGCCTGTTAACATAAGGATGTTATCTAAACCTGTTTACTATAAAGAATTGATTAAATTAAGAAACATTTTCGAAGAACGTTATGCCGAGCGAAATATGAAATGAGTGATAAGGCAGTTTCCGGCGGAGAAATGTAAGGATCTGTTGCGTATTCCTCCACTAATCACATCCGAGGTTTGAATCGAGCGTAGCGGAGTCAGCCGAGGATTGCCGATTGTTTAATTTTCGGGGAATTGACGTTTGCTTAGCAACTGCCTCTGTGAATTTCGAACCCGACGTATTTAATATGCAAAATGATTGTACGCGCGGGAACATAACTGTGTTCGAGAGGGTAATATAACTGTTTCCGGTGAAATATAATTATATCCGGCGTGATTCGGCAGTTTTTAAGGGCATATGGATAAAAATATTATATTTGTGATATAATTGGAAAACTTTAAACATGTTATATAATAATATTATGCATTTTACTTATAGATTAATGTATACATGCAGCATAAATTTACCATGTAATAACGGTATATTTTTACAATCCTGAACTCAATAATATTAAGAAGTTACAGTGAACGATTTAACGAAGCTCTAAGCACTAACAGAAAGTGATTTTTGGACTTGAAGGAAAATGTAGCATATAAATGTGCGCATTTTGAGACTATCTAATTCATTTTAGGGTACCTACATGTACATGTACCTTAATTCTTCTGCGGGAAAAATGTTCAAGACAATGGACTATGCGTGAACAGAAACACTGTTATTTACTTACATTGGGAAAATTATTAGAAATAATGCATTTATTTACTAATTCTTAGTCTAATTTATTGTTATGCATATCTAGTTTATTACAAATTGAGTATTTAACTGCAGATAACCAGATTTCTATCTCACTTGTAAGGGCAGATCACTCTAACAGCATAAAACTATCCTACAATTAGAACTCTTGTTTACAGTGTTTAGAGGTTCCTTAAATTCATTGTGGACATTTTACTTGGAATTTTAACATAGTTACCTTTCTTTGTACAGTTAGCTGTTTAAAAGCATTAATTTACATGTCTGTACAGTTTTGATATTTGTACTTTGATCTGAAATGGAGAGACTAATCTAGGCCACCTTTGTCTGATGCATGGCCGTAGCTACCGGGGGGGGCATGCTGTAGACTGTAGAAATGCTTGTGTCCCCTCAATAAAAACGTCCAATGACCTTTTTTTTTTGGCTTGTCAAGGAATTGTTGGTAGTTGATAGTGCCAGTGCCGCCCCCCCCAACCGAAAATGTATGCCCTTTCCCCATCCGAACTGAAATTGCTTCGTACGCGCCTGTGCTGTACAATCCATGTTCATTGTATACTTCTTTGTATATTATGAGTAAAATATTTTAAAATTAATTTCTTACCTGGGCTCAGATAAAACACATTGCTCCAAAAATATAATGGTATGTCCAACGTTGCAATATTTGATCCTTTCCATTTGTAATTTAGTTTTGTATAACTTATAAATTCTCTATTTGCATGCATTTGGTCAAATTTTATCTCTATTTTCCATTTGCACTGTATACTTTTGGGACAATATAATTATTTTTCATTTTGCAAACTTAGTATTTTTCAAACATTTTGTTGTTGATAACACTATCCTTAACACAGTTAATTCATTTATTTCACTGAATAATTTAGTGATTGTTTCTGTTACAAAAAATTATGGAAATTATAGATCTTTCAGGAACCGGTAGCATTGAGAAAAAAGACTGTTTTCATCTTGTATGCATAAAAGTCCATTTCTTCCCGCTCTCCCCCCCCCCCTCTCTCTCTCTCTGCAATCATGAAGTAAAAATAAAAACATCAGATCTACACTGGCTGACAACACAATAAGGTTGAAAATATATGCATGCATTAATATCTTTCTTTGTATAAGATGCAGTGATGACTTATTATATAAACACATATAATTTGATTTAATGAAAATATGAAAAATATCAATTTTGTTCCTCTTTTGTAGTATGACATTTTCTGAGATTCAAAAGTTTCTTTAGAAATGATATCGTCTCCTTTCTGATTAAAATATATAGCCAGGGATTAAGAACAGCATTAGTGTAAGCTAGTCGGAGGCCAATGAGTTCAAAGTTGTCCATACCGCCCAGGATACGAAGAGAGCGTGCAAAAACGTTTATCTGAAACAGGAAGCGAAATTTAAACATATACGTCATCAAAATAAATTTTTGTTCATAACACTTTTTACAATAAAGTCTGGCAAAAAAACATCATTGTTAAAAAGAAATAGCTGTATATTGGTCTGGATTATTTGCATCCAATAATCGCGAGGAAGAAAAGTATATGATGATGTAATGCAACCCCACCCCTTCCCCATCTTGAGTGAACTACATAACTTAAAATATTTAAAATTCAGTCATGGTTTGTATACATCTAAACAATTGCTTTGGACTTTCTCATTTGTGTGGATAAATTACAAAGTATCGTATTTAAAACCTTGACGACAATATACTGCTTTATAGCAATAATATTCTTGGTCATAAATAATCTTGGTTATAAAATAATAATCTTGGTAATAAAACCGATGAAGAGTCGAAAGCTTTTCATAGTAGGAGAGATGGACCTCAAAATTAACTTGGCCTGATATTCTAAAAACATGTTCTTCAATAAATCAAAGGTCATTGATTCAAATAAACTTTAATCGTATTTTATTTGACAGCACGTGCATATAATTTAATAGATAAACAGACAAGCAGAAAGTTGCCCCATAATGTATAAAATAGTGATACTTTCTTACCAGCAATGGTATGATGCAGATCGCAAAAAGGACGACAACAGCTAATAGAAGCACTACCATCTGCTTGCTGTTCTTACTGGAAATTCTCTGCTTTGCAACTTCACTTCCGGCGAAGCTTTGTCGGAGCAATGTGATGATAACTATGCAGTTCAGTACCATGATTAAGGATAGCAGGATAAACCCTGTAGAAGAATAAGCTAGAGAGATGCCTCGATCAATCCAATAGTCTGACTTGAAATCTACAAAACACCAGGAACCCGGATAAAAACTCCGACTTGACCTTCCCGCCAAAATGTGAACAGACGACAAGAGAACAGACAAAATTCCTCCAAGTAGTAGTAACACGTGTGCTCGTCTTTCTTTATCTGAGATGCTGTATTTGAATGGAAAAACGATCGCAAAGAACCTGTCAAGTGACATAGAGAATACGATAAACGCTGAGTTCAAAATTGCAAGCATCTGAATGAATGCCATGTAGTCACAAAGAGGCTGGGTGAAAGTAAAAGTAAAGTTGGATGCGTATCTTGCAATTCCGAATGGTGCAGCTAGAACCACTCCAAAGAAGTCGTTAATTGTGAGGACGCAGACGAATCTGTAGAACGGACGCCATTTGTGATCCAACGAAAGATGGCAAAGAATGGTGAATGCTAATCCATTGCCAATGGCTCCTAGAATTAAGAGAATCACAGGAGCTAAGACGTTGGGGGTTTCTTCGATTAAATTTAATGATGACGAATTTGTTTGATTCGAAGACATTTTCTGATGTACTAAATTCCCAGCTACTAGCATCAGTAGAATTCTGAAAGAAATCCTGAAAACGATTTGGTTAACATTTACTGGTATAAGATAATAATGCATGTATATTGTTGTACACTTCGTATTTACATGTATTGACTGTGAATTTGATTTTGAAATGACAGGACTTTGTTTCTAGAAAATAAGAAATGATTTTATCTTTATGCACTTAGAATACGTCCTTGCCACGTAACATTAAAACCCGGATATAAAATATTCATGAAAGAACTATATGCGGTATATTGCATATGTTTGCCCCCACAAAAGTCAAATTTTGAAAACTTCCTGATATGTGCTGAATTCAATAAATTGTACGAGAAATATAAGTTAACAGAAAATATTATAGTTCCAGAGCAGTGTATTCACAATTTCTGTTTTTATGACGTCACAAACTAGTCCGATTTTATATCCTTTTTCAGAAAGAGGACAAAATGGACAAAATTTCAACAATTTAAGCTTTAAAATTTATAGATGTGTGTTCAGGAACAATATTGACATATTTCATTGATATTATCATTCTACACATTATATCAAAATATTTATCCTGCACACATGCGCTCGGTGACTTTTATTTAAAATATCGAAAATATGTACATTTTTCTGCAAAATTCATAAAAAACTGAAATTTACGTCATATTTGTGACGTCATTACGTATATATGACGTCATAACTTATGAAATTATTCAGTGCTTTGAAGTCAGCATATACTCCCCTGTTTAAGGACTTAATTAAATATTACTCCATCAAAGTTTGATTTTAGGGGGGCAAATGTTGGTTAATACCGCATATAGTTCTTTGCCAATAAAATGCACATGCTTTGATCTATAAACAAATTTAAACTGAGTGGGCTTTTAACAAAATATAAATTGCCATAATGAGAAAGATCTTATGCACCAATGAAATAATGGACGGAAAAATTCTACAAAGTACATGTATAGGAAAATATCCATAATGGAAATTATTACATTTGTATAGACTGTAGCACTTTCAACGTTAACGATAGCCTTTTCCGTAGTGATAGAGTGGATATTTGACATCTGTGCATGCGGTGTTCATTAATTTTATAAATTAGGAATATCTGGACAATCACATTGTAGAGAAATTTAGAGAAAGAGGTTTGAATGTACTGTACATGTAATTACAATATCTGTGTTAGAATGGATTACAAATTATTAACATAAAAACAAAGTGATAGAGATTTCAATTATAACGGAGGGGGCACTTTGTATGATATCGATATACTTATGAAATTAAATGCTTGCAATAATTAAGAATAAAAAAAATTCCTGGTTAGAAACTGAAACCCTTACTTGTAAATACTAACTTTGTTGTATTTAGCGTCTTTCAACTTCCGCTGCTAGTATACATTTGGACTAAATGTCTATGGAGTTTTGATAAAATTCTGATAAAGTAGGGGGATCTTCAGGTAAATCAAACTTGTCGGTGATATAAATTTAGAATTGTTTTAAAGGTTCTTCAAATACCCATAATCCCACGAAATCTCTAGTTGTTTATATCCAGGTGCCGGGCCGACGATCGAGAAGAACTTTGCACGTTTACTCTCAATTTTCGCCTACATTTTACACCCATTTAATTCAAATTAATGACAAGTTGCCCATTAAAGCATTTTCGAACGCATGCAAGAGTTCTATATTTGTTTATACAATTTTCAACTGCCTTTAAGTGCATTTCTTTTCATCGGGTTTGTAGAAGACGTGACATGTATCCGTTGAAACTAAGGACTAGTTTTTGACTTAGGTAATGCACACCATCCCACTCTAAAATATTTTTAAAATTTTTTTTTGTTATAAATACATTTTGGACTTTATACCGTATGTGTATGTACATTTTGGACAAAATCGTTGGAGTTTATTTGAGCAGGAAGCTTCAGAAGTTACCTTCCTTTGGTCGTTCACGACGAGGAAAAGATATTCAAGCAATAAAAAAGATCTACATGATTTTCAAGACCAAAAAAAAAAATGATTAGCCTATTTCAAAACATTCATTGATTTGACTCGAAATTACAAATATCAATTAATTTTATATTGAAACATTAAACTGAAAACTTTGTTGAAAACTTGTCCTGTATACATTCATGTAAATGCCATGTGAACTTTAATTGATTTTCATAATTTTATAAAAATATCTTTAATTTTGACAAAATAACTTTTTTGACAAAAAAAATTTTTTATGAGGCTGAAAAAATAATCTTGATTAAGTTCATCAAATGCGAGTAACATTTCACAACTTTTGAATTTATAATCACTGTTGTAACAACCCCCCCCCCCCCTACTTCTCCCCAAAATACGTCTTCCAAAGTTAATCTAAGATTGTGTACCCTCAACAACACTGAATAAAAACATATTTGTTTTCCCCTTCTCTACTTTAACTGAATGCGTCTCCTACCTTATACATTGTATATGCGCCAGTCATTTGAAAGATGGATCGTTTGTTTTTATTTTTACAAATACTTCCTTTATGCGACTCTCAAAATAATATTTTTTGAATACATACAAAATATGATAGACAAATCAAATTAATTACCTTAAAATAAAGATAAATTGACGAATTCATTTTTTAATATTGTATATCTGACTGAATAGCAAAGCTTCCGTCAAAAACATCAGGAATACTGATGAAAGTTCCTGTATGTTCTTTTGAGCATGAGTTTGAAAAATAAAATCTGAGTTTTTAATTTTTTTGAAGGAATAAAATATTTACAGATTTATTTATTATTTACAGGCATTTATTCTGAGAAAAATCAACAGGAAAAAGGGATGTTTCTTGTCAAGCGTGTCTACTGGGCACACACCCCCCTTTGGCATTTTATAAGAAGCCCTTTTCTCGGGCGACACCTCCCTAAAACAACACCCCGTAACTTCTACCCTACTCTCCCACGGAACATTCTATTCCGAGGGGAGTTAAAAGCTACCTATACCGTCAAGGTAAATTTTCATTGGTCGAAATTTAAATTTCATCATTCTATTCCCCCTTTTAGAAATAAAATAAATCGAAATTTTATTATTTAAAGTTTATAATTTTAACAAAATTCATCATTTCATCAGAAATATACCCAAAGAAGAAAGAAAACAAAAAGGTAAGTTTTTCAAAATTGTGATAGCAATAATTATTTATGATTTACATCTGTTGTTTTCCCAATGTAAAAGTTAAAAATGATTTAAGATCAAAATCAAAATTAAAAATTAGAAGTATATATGTATGATGTAGCAACACCCTTAGTCCTCCTTTAGTCCTACATGTATTTGAGATAAATATGAAAGCAAGCAACAATTCTTTAAATAAATTCAGTAGAATTTTTACTGGGAATGAGTTCCATAAATTGATAGAGGTAAACTGTTGAAATCTATTCCTTTGTATGAATTATTTTTATAATTAGCTTTCAAACTTTTAATCAGACCTTTTCATTTCTTGAACTGAACACGAAAGTATGATCTAATGTTTTCGATTTTTCCCGATCCTCCCCCCCCCCCTACACACACACACACACCCTAACCGCCATTGATAAGAAGTTTTCAAAGGAAATTGGAAAAATAAATATTTTAAAATTTGTAATTTAATTGAAGTCAAATGTGAATGTATGAAGGTAATGACACAATTTGCTCTACAATGTGTAATGTATTGTACATGTACATTTTGTAATATTTCATATTCAGGTTATATAAAATTATTTTGACTACATGTAATTCTCCGAAAGTACCTAGTCTCATTTAGAGTTGATAATATCTTGATGAGTCTAATCTAGAGTAACGAGTGAACCGTGAAAATTGATAGAAAATAATTACAACCACCCCCTCTCACTATCATCGAATGTTGAAAGACCCGACCCCCTGTAAATTGGTACCCCCACCCCAAACACACACCCCCCCCCCCAAAAAAAAAAAAAAAACTAGTTTTATTTTTAATAAAATGTGAAAGTGTTCATTGAATATCCAGTTATCCTCGTTATTTCTAGTGCTTTTGGGTGCTTTTGGATTGTTTTTAATTTTCTTTTGAGTCCCTTTAAGGTTCTTTTGGGTCCTTTTGGGTAAATCGACGCGCAGATAATACTAAATATAGAAACCTATAGAACTCAATAGACATTAAGAGAACCCTATAGATTTTTTTCATAATTCATTCTAATTCAATAACTTATTTGTGTGTTGTTTTTTTTTTCATGCTTGATTTACATAATAAATAAAATGTTTATTACATGTAATATTATTCTCATAAATATATGTAGCATATTGTAAGCAAAATACTTATTAACTTTTTGGGATAAAAGTAATTAAAAATTAATTTCATATAGTTAGTAATATTTTTGCACCAGATTGAATGACAGTGACAACGATTTAATCTCTTAAATGTACAAACATACAGAGAGAGGAGGTGAAAAGATGTATAATACTTTTAATTTTTTTTCAAGTCAATTATTTTCATCTTGTTTGACAATCAAAAAAATTTATTTTTTCAGCAAAAAAAGTCCTCTATATTTGGTCTACATGTGAGAGAGTTTGAAATCTATTTTAACCTAGTCTCGTTAATTTCTTTTTGTGTACATTCAAATATAGCAAAATCCAAGAAAAGTGGTCCCCCGCTTTCGGTATCTTAGTGGAACGGATGCCATTATTTATGGCAAATTGTGTCAAATAAAAGTAATTGATTAATTTAAAAAAAAATGAAAATTAGTTCAAGGGGTAAAAAATTATAGCATGATCGAGAACATCTTGTTACAGCAATTACACAAGTCAAATATGAAAGACCCATCACTTCTCTATCAAAAGTTTTCAGGAAATACATGTATAACATTTTTAAAAAAGTAGGTCAAGTTTCAAGGTCAAGATAATGGGGTCAAAAACAGTGTTTCAGAAAGGCCTTAAAAAAGTTAACTTAAACTTAAACTTAAAAAAATCTCTTCTCATTCATAAGTTACACGTATAACCAAGGTTAAAGTTTTTGAAAAGAAGGTCAAACTTCAAGGTTAATGTCAAGGGGTCAAAAATCATTGTGTATTTAGAGA